TCAAACATATGAGCCTAAAAGAAGATTGAACCAGTGAAAAGAGGTCAGGTTATAATTACATTTTAATCTATCTCGAAAGCTATTAAACCCTGGCAATTAGGTGACACCTCTTTCCATTTACAATAACAAAAAACTACAATAAGCCATTCTATTTCCTCATTCTTCAACACCAGTCACACCAGTTTGGTTTGACGCACCCGCAGTCAGAAGATGACAGCTGGTTTGCACAGTTGTTCAGTCCATACCTGATAAATCACTCATCTTCATTCCAAAGGTGCAGAGCTTTCACAGTCCTGCCCATCAATTCAGACACACTGCCTGCATTACACTAAGTGCACCATAATGTGTAATGAAATGTGAAGTATTTACCCTCATGTGTTACATGACAATGCAGAGTGACCTGTCTTTATCATTGACACTTCTCACTTTCTGGGTCATGTCCATTGCTATCTGTGTGAGGGAAGATAACAATCCCCTGGCCATTGTTACTTTGGTTTCTTATGGGTTTTTTTTTTTTTTTGCCTGGTTAGTTAAATATAAACTCTGGAACTGATTGTGTATCCCCAGCCCCCAGTGTACCATGACAAAGTCACCCTGAACACAGAATATCAGCCCTGCACTGCACATGTGATCATGCAATTGGCTATGCAAGGCTGCAGGACACAGACCATTTATTCTGCTCTGTTTGCAAAATTGTGTGTGTGTGTGTNNGAGAGAGAGAGAGAAGCAGAGAAAAATAGAATGTGGGTGTATTGGGTAGCAACAAATTAGAAATAGACAGGAATGGGTGGAGATAGCAGCGTAGCATTACAGGGTGGATGGTAGATTGTATGTGTGTGTGTGTGTGTACTTTCCCCTGGCCATGTGGTTGGACAAAGGGCAAGGATTGTGAGGGTTAGTGAAGAATGCAGTGTATTGCTGATCAGTGCTACTGATAGTGGGCACATGGCCTGAGTGTGACTGACAAACAAAAGACACATTACCTCTAATAAAAAAAAACTGAGTGGATGATTAGGCCATACAATGTAGTAATACATTAGGGCTGCAAAAGAAACATAATCATCTCTCTGTCATGTGTTCAGCAGCTCATAAAAAGCTGAATTAGTGCTTAACGTTTATACTGCTTGGCCTTCTTAAGGGAACTGTTTCCATCAGCTGATGCAGACTGATGTCAACAGTGTGCAGGTTTATTCCAGTAATAACAGATATCAGGGGATGTCTTTATTGTCGATTAGAGGGCACTGGCGCCTTCGCAGACAGTGACAACAGGGTGTTGACCTGATGGGCTTCTGCCCCGCTGCCTTTAGTGCACAGGAAGGCCAGCTTCCTGTTTTTCTGCCCCATCAGTCCGGAGGACAAAAGCACAACACAGGATTGACATAGGGGCACAATCAGCACCCGGCACACGTCAGGCCCACGGTGCACCCACCTACATAGTGTCACACCTACACACACCCTGATGAAGATGGTTCAATTAAGTAAATTATCATCATTCATAACACTGATGCTTATCATAATAAGCTTTGACATGAGCCAGGTCAGTAAACATGCTTTAATAAAGACATGAAATCACTCATATTGTGGCGTGCTGTACTTGACTTACCATTGAATTATTAATTATTAATTATTAAGAATATATGAGCACAAAACCTAGTAAATAAAGCCTTAGATCAGGATTTAAGTTTGCTGGGCAGTGAAACGTTGGAAGAATCGTTATTCAAATTCATGATACTGGGGTTACATGGTATAAACGTTTGCTCTCTTTACCACCAAGGCACCCTGTGAAGGGTGACTTTTTAATTGTTTTTTTAATCATTTGTAATCCATTTCTCTTTCAGTAAAATCCACACTATAGTTTCACGAAGCTCCCTGATGAAACTGAGAAACAGTGAGAGGGAGTAAAGGAAAAAGAGAGAACATCTTGTACAACCACTGAGCTCCAGAACCAAAAGAGGTAAGACTGCACAGGGCAGCAAAGAGAGAGAGAGGGAGAGAGGCGCCGCTTACATCCCGCCATTGTCCAGCTTCCTCCAGGCTTCAGAACCAGGGCTTCCTCAGGACACGGGACAAGGCAGTTGGTTAAATAAAATAAAAACTGCACACACATGCAGCTTAATAAAAACAGCACACACATACACAGTGCCATGGGCAGACCATAACACAGGCTGACAAAATATTATCCAGTGTGCTCAGACTGACCTGACCCTGTGCAGGCCACCAGATCCTATGTTATTATTTGGACTATTTTTTGCTTTTGACGGAGATTTGACTAATGACTGCTTGGGAAACAGCGGATGGGTGTTTCACCATTCGATGGAGCTCTTTCCACATTAATGCCACTGGACCTATTGAATGCAAACACAACACTGAGTCATAATGCACAACAGTTCTGATATTAATCAAACAAGGTCTGGGAACAACTCAGTGTGAGCTGTGTAGTCCGGCCTAGCTTTATGGGCCAATCAAGACAATTACAGAGATTCTCCAAACAAGCACAGCTGAGTATGTGCGTCAACAGTTTCACAACAATTAACCTCTCCTCCTCAACCACAGCTCCACCGTCAATAATCCAATTAACTAATTTGCTTACGTCCACTTTCCAGAAGAGGGCGGTGTCACAACAGTTTTAGCAACAAGCCCTCCCTAGCGCTGCAAAAAAACAACAAAAAAACAAACAAAAAAACAAAAACAACCCCCACCAACAAGTCCTTTCACAGACCCTCTCCAGAGTCTTTAAATAGATTTATTTCAAAGTATTATTGGCAGTTTTCTTGAAAGGTTACTGATCCGTATTGTTCTGCCCAATTTCAAATGACTGTTACATTCATTGAAAAGGCTTCAGGCGGTGATAATCTCGCTCTCTGCCCTCACCTCGTGTGAACAATGAATTAAGACTGAGACTGATGACTTTTCAGCGCACTTCTTGCACTGTGGTGTAGGCTATAGTGTCCCCAGAGCGTCCACAGCAGCCCGGAGTGACGTCGCTTCACCCAGGATAAAAAGAGAGAGCGGTCAAGATACCCACAGATAGGTAGAGTGATACCGGAAGTAAGGCAACTTTTCACAATAAATTCACACAAATAATGGTTAGGCTATTTGGCCTCCAGATCCAAGGGACATCAATTAGGCTGCATACAAGGACATATATGTATATATATATATATCATTTATATTCAGGCTGTACTGATATATCACAAACTGAGGCTTGAAGTGGTCTGTCCAATGGATTGAGTTGGTGTTGCAATGCAGATACTATTTACAAAGCGAATAACAACAACATTCCGGTAACATCCTATTTCATTCCACTTGCTTCATTGTTTAATAACATTTTTGAATTAATAATTTGTTAATTAACTACAGTACTTCTTCAAATCCGCTTCACTAGAATGGGGTGTTTTCAGATGTTTATTTTAGTCTCTTTCAGAACCCTTTATATAGCCTACCTTAATAACACCATATAACACATAACAATTAATAATTAATGGATGGCCAAATATTTCCAATTAAGTAATTAAGTGAGAAGCATGTAGCCCTTAAAATCTAGGCTACTTAATACTTTATTGATCCCTGGGAGTTATGTGTTTGTCGACATTAAATAAAATAAATAATAATTATATTAGAATATCTAACAATATATCTAGAAAAGAAATATACATATAAAAAAAAGAAAGAAAATTATATAGTAAAATATAATAGTATGTACATAGATATTTCAAATTAAGGAAAAAGTAATTTGCTCCTAAAATCAAAATTATTTGAATAGTTAAGAAAGGGCATCTAAAATGATGTGTTTAAAAGGTTTTTGTTTTTGCCTTTTTAGATTAATGGACAAATTCAGGTATCTCCGGCAATCACACCTGGACTAAGGTTTTTGATGTGTTTTTGAAGAATCCATTAAGGGTATTTTATTTGTTTAGTTTTGCAGTGATATAAACACTTGGATACAGACTAAAACAATCGTTCTATTGGTTTTATTTTGAAAGCGGCGGCCGGAACAGGTGTGCTGTGGCTGCGCTGTGTGAGCGGCGCGCAGTGACAGCAGCAGCACACCGCCAGGGAGAGAGCGGCGGAGCTGCAATCAGCCAGGAGCGAAAATGTGAAGGTGGAATCCGACTGAGCAGCGTTGTGTTGTAACTGCCGCCTGTTTCCCTGGGAAAAAAAATAAATCACAACCGACATTCCCACACAGCAAGAAAAGGAGCTTTATTTGGATTTTATAATCTCTGGAAATATCCTCGCTTTGTTTTTTCTTTTCTTACACATTTTTTTTGGGGTACCTCTCTTTCTGTCTCTGTCCACCTTCTCAGAAATTGACTGTGTTGCTGAGAGTGAGGAGCATCATTTGCGTTCACTGGATATTCATTTTTGATGACTTTTATAAAGATCTCCTCTCGCTTTATGGGATTATTCTCGACGGAGACGCTTTGTTTTAGATAAGAACACGTTGGGCATCATGAGTTCCAGTGGTAAGTCCATTCTTGCGCGCTTTATCTCTCCACTTGAAGCGCAAGGACAATACCTATAGGTGAGAGCAGAGAGAACTACCATTGAACAATAGTAGCCTGTATGTGATGGAAGAGACTCCAGAAAGTGCCAACTTATATAAGGTTGAAATCAAGAATTAACCAATGTAATTTCAATGCACCTCAATATGCCATCACATTAATTTTCATAGCTATTAAATTGTGATTTTTATGCACATCCAGGAAAGACAAATATGTTGTGAAACGTGCCTCTCAACATGCCCTGATGATAGACTTGGAGCAGGTTTAGAGAGGATGGCAGAGCTAAGTATATCTGGAGGTCAAAGTAGCATTTGCCCAGAGTTCATCTATAGAGGAGCATTTTTGGGATTCTTTATCCACATAACAGCTGTTGCTTGGACCCTCTCAATGTCTATTTCACTCCTCTATCACCTCTTTCATCTTCTCTCCTTCCTCATCCTTCTTTCCACCAGCAGTAGTACATTTGACCTCCCTTGGGTGACCACCCAGGCTTCCAGCTGTCATCTCTTCATAAAAGTACACCTGTCCTCTATCACTTTCGTTTGCAGGAGCAGGGAAATACCCTTGAGCTGGAGGTTTGTGACCTGACCGCTGGGTTGGTTGATGCAGCATGCGAGAGTACAAGTCTGACAGCCTGAGAGTTTCTGTCATACCCTAGACCGGCCCAGGGGCTGCTATGATGCTAAGCTGACCTTATATCAGCTGACTGTGACCCTGATCCTCTGTCAGCTGAATCAGGGCTTTCCCTGTAGGGCTTGTTGGTCAGCTGGTGTGTGCATGTGTGCGCGCCTGTGTGCATGCTTCCACTTTGTTGTGTTTACAAGTTATAACTGGTTGATTTGCAAGGCAGGCTTTTTTTGGATTTCCAAGGGAAGACTTTTCTAAAGAAAAAATTCTCCCCCTGTCCCTCAACTGTCAGTGAGGCCAGTTGAAGTTGATGTGCACCAGGTGCTTTGTGGACTGACGGTGTCATGTGCTTCCTGTCCTCCCTCCCCTGTCTTCTGTGTCTACAGGAGGAACCGGGTATTACTGCATCATTCATAATCCAGCCTGTCATTGTGTGGCACTACATTATTCATCCAGTGCTCTTAACCCTCTGGTACCGAGCCTTGCCTGACTGCCAGTTCGTGCGGTGTTGTGCGTGTGTGCCGGGAGTGTCGCAGCTCCTCTCTTGCTGAGAAAATGTGTAGAATTCTTTTGTTAAGCTTCAAAATGTTTTTCTCAGCTGACAACAAGAGGGGAGGAGTACATGCAGCCAGCATGTGGAGAGCTGTCACAAGCTCTTGTGATTTAAAAGCATGTGGTCAAAGAAGTAATGCACACAAACACACAGCAACTTGTGGTATGTCACTTGCGTGTGATTATGTGTCTGCAATTAACTGTGTGTGTGTGTGTGTGTGTGTGTGTGAATGTCAGCATTGTCAGAGCAGGCAGATAGTGGTGTGGCATGTGTCTGTAGTCTGGCTTTAGGCATAAAAACACAGCAGGCATCAGAGCTGAGGAAAGAACATTTCCTCTCCTCTCCTCACTTCCATCCCTCCAGTCAGTCAAACATATGTTCCCCTCCACTCTCTAACACTCTCAAGGTTTGGACATGAATTGGCCTGTTAGGCTGTGTGGTGTGTGCAGTGTTTTCCGCTGCATTGGGTGCGATAGCCCAGAGGCCATCGACACACACAGAGTAATTACACACCGCTCTGACTGTCTGTCTTCATCTTCTGGGCCTTCTATCTCTCATGGTCACTGGTTTTTTTTGTTTGTGTGTGTGTGTGTGTGTGTTTGTGTGTCTCGTCAGACTCCTATTTTCTGCTTGGCTGGCAGACGAGGCAGGACTGTAGGTGTAGCAGGTTAGTCTCTGGTGGAAAGGACCTAACAAATACTGAGAAAGAAATACTAATATATGATAATAGTAAAGACGCAAACTTGAGCCTAAATGATGAATCGGGCCATTTCTGAGATACAGTATACGAACAGTATGTGTGTTTCAGGAGAGTGATAAAACACATGTTGAACAATATACTGATTATTGAGCTCAGGGACAGAGGGGATTTGCAGAGCCATACATCAAAGACAGCACTGACACCTCTTTCCCTTCTCTCTCTTCTCTTTATATAGCAGCTAGTGCCCAAGTATCAGACAAAATACATCCCATTTGGGTATTTTAACTTTAAAGAGACATGCTGCATCTCATACAACCTAATGATCTGAATGAACGGACTCTATGCAAATTAATCCTAGGTATAATTGTCTCTATTGTCTATTTTTCTTAGCTATTTAGTCTCATGTATAGTCTTTTTAGCCCCACTAGCAGTATGGATGGCAATGTTGGTCTTATGGTGATTCTCTTACTCATTATACAATACCATCAGCTGCTCAAAATATCTCCACAACTATTGGAGAGATTGGCAAGACATTTTATACAGACATTCATAGTTCCTAGATGATGAATCATTATCACTTTGTTTCCACCATCATTGTCCAATACCAGTAAATGGCCAAATACCTGCAAAACTAATGGCATCCCCATCTGCCTGTATTTAGTGCTGATTAGCAAATGTTAGCATTCTAAAATGCTGAGCTAAGATGGTGAAAATGGTTAACATTACCTGCTAAATATCAGCATGTTACACAACATTGTCATTGTGAGCATGTTAAGAGAACTTATGTTCCAGTTGGTTGACAGGAATTAATTAAATGTAGATACACTTGTTTGTAGTAGAATCATGCAGATTAGTGGAAGAAAGGTCTTGCAACAACCTGATTTGCTTTAACCCAGATTTAGTCTGCATCAGCATGAGCTTTGTCATCAGTGGCTGAGTAGGAATGCTTTGAACTGATCTCATTGTAATTCTGTAAAAGATAGCTTTGACCTAGTGCTGGGCGGTATGACCATACAATTGTACCATCAGATTCTGGCAGTTTCAGGATATATCATGTTTTTTGTTTGTTTGTTTGTTTTTTGCATGAATTAACTTTTATATAGGTTTATAGTGGCTGATTCTACTGTCAGGAGTACATAGAATATAAAACATTTTAATGTCATCATGTATATAGTGAAGACTATAGCATTATCTTCGCTCTACAAAATTATACAATATATAAAGGAATCAGAATGCATTAAAAAATGTAAAATGTAAATAACTTTTACTGTGCAAACTGCAATGTAGTAAAAACATTTTCCTTTTCAAAACAAATAGTATTTAAGTATTCAAAGAGATAATTTTCAAATGTTCCATTGCGCAAGAAACAAATGAGTTCCAGCACTTGTTTCAGCTATGCTATCAGTTGTCTCCGCTATTGCCCAGCACTACTTTGACCTGATGGTGGCAACAGAAGGAAAAATAGTGCCGCTGATCAAAGTCCAGTGTGTTCCAGATAAGATGGATCAAGGCGTTTGTCAAGGGGAAGTTCTGATTTTTGATGCTGAAAGACAAAATGTTCACAAAATCTGAAAAATTGTCCTCTGGGAACCATGAATATTCATTTGAAATGTCATGGTAGGTTGTTATTGAGATACAATATCTTGGACTGGACCAGAGTGTATGAATGGACAGATTGATGATCCACTGACAGTGTCCGTCTAAGAGAATTGAATAGAATGGGGAAAAAAATAAATGTATAAATACATTACATACAGTACTATATTAAATGATGGATATTTTCTGTGCTGTTTCAATGTCAGTTTGTGTTTTATGGGAGGAATGAGTCAGAACAAGGGTTGACAGGGAGGGGAGCTGTATCATATATGATTCCTGCTCTTCTGCCTCATCTGGTGAGCAGTCGAAACCAGAACCAAACACCATTTATCACTCCTGCTGCCAGACGCCTTAGTTCAATAACACAGAGAACAAAGGTGGGAGACAAAGATGCACAGATGCAAACACAGATGCTGGGATGCACTCATGAATATTCAGATTACGCAGCCATGTACAACTGGTATGTATTTACAGACCAATGTAAAAATGAGGCCCATGTTTTTCTTGTGCATTTGCAGCACCGTTATTGTGGTTACTGCACTGGTATTCTGTTTGGTTATTGTGGAAAGGAATTTATGGAGACTGCATGGAAATACCATCCAGTTTCCAGTTTCATCTGTAAGATCTAAACTCTTTTTTTAATTTAAATTGAATGAATAGAATTAAAAAGTACAAAGCTACACTACTGTGGCTAAATTGTATATTGTGTCCTCAAGGTTGCCGTTTCCATGACCTTGGCTTCTGGTAGGATTGAGTGATTATTCAGACTGTCAGCAGAGTGACCTTTCTTTCTCTCTCTCCATAGAGTGACAGTATGTTTGTGATACCACCGGACACTATCATTGCTCTGATGAATGCTCCTGGTCAAGGTCCTGACAGAGACGATGGGAGATAAAGAGAGGCGGTGGGGGAAGGCAGGGAGGCATCTGACCGTTGGCTGCATTAGATGACGGACACGGATGACGTGTTGTTTTTATAGAATGTGTTTATATATAATAGAACAAACCTTTAATCAGATTTTAACTTGTAGAAAAACAGTGATATGATTTGTGGTAACTGAAGAAGCTTGGATTTGGGTGTACTCCTTACTTAGTTTCTGAAGTAAGTAAACCTTGTCAGATAATGGGCTTGTTGATGAATCTGAGATTATTATGGGATTCTTAATTAAACAATATGTTTTAAACTTCTAGCAAAGACATAAGTGACATTAGTTATTGAGACTCTGTGGTGTTGTTGAAAATATTTCATGTATGTTGGTTATTTTCACATTCACTTGAATACAGTGATTTCTTGACGCTGGCATCTTGTTGCCATTAGCCGAACTACATGTTGTACTGCTGGTGTTGCATCATCTTTTAGTGTTGCTGGTTGCCGGCTTGATTTAGGGACAACAAAGGATGTGTGTGGTTGAAATGTATGCCACCTGTAAAACATGTAAGCGTTTTTTATTATATAATTTCATTTTGGGCCCCATAACTGAAGATTGGCAGTTATTTCCTTGAGCAAAATAAATCTCACCAAAACCATCTTAGTTAGTGTTTCTACTGTTCCAACAATCACTGACTCTGATTTGGTCAAAAATAATACTTAATTAACCAATTTAGGTGAATTAATGTAAACATATTCTGGCTCTACACATTGTTTCCCCGCTGCCTCTCTCTGTCGGTACTGCCTTTCACTGGTTCTTTGGAGACAGACCATTAAATTAGCAATATAAAATGACTTGATGGACTATGATTTGTCCAAGTCGCATCTTTGTATTAGTCCCATTAATATTGTTTAATTTAAACTACCGTTAAGTGTCAATTACAAATAATTGGCTTATTGTGTTTTTTGAATTAGACTTGTTTCAAACCTACAGTCTGTGCACACTAGATGTTGATGTAAAGTTGTCCCTGTGTCCACAATTCATGAAATAATACAACTGCACCCATACAAAAGCATTGGTATGTTAGCATAAACTAGCCTACAATTATAAAAACTCAACCTGGGTCATAAAACAACAAATTTTTTTTTACTTTAATAATTAAAAAAATTACCACTGTCTTTGTATGGCTTCTCTTTGATTCTTTTCCCTACTCTTCACTCCACTCACTCGTCACCACTGATCTTCCAGCATCCCTTGTGACTGAGCTCCCAGCATGTTCTTCCCCGGGGCTGTCAGGTCAGGGGCAGAAATAGCACCAGCCTCACAGTCCCTGGGGATGCTGTCGGCCTCTCTGACCCTGGCCCTGTTCTTATCACCTGTCTGCCGGAGGCTGTATTCTCCCAGGGCACTTGCCACTGATTTGAAGTCAGTGGATTACACCTGTAGTCTGGTGGCTATCATTAGAAGAATGACTCAACGCCTCAACATGGGAGAGGATGGAGGGTTGTTTGAGAGCTCTGTAATGGGTTTAGACAAGGAGAGCTTGGCTGCGTTCAATGAGAATGAACGCCCTGACACAATTTGATTGAGTTATATAATGCTTCAGCTTCTGAGCTGATTGTAGACCTTGATTTCCTGCAGAGGTGCGGCCGTTTGGCACGTACATCCAACAAGTTAAATAATCATCTCATTCATTAAAAAATCTGCAATAATTTTTGCTATTTACTAAGCACCCAGTATAAATCAGGTATGTGTTGACAATCTTCATTCAACATCTTGGCCATTGTTGTTCTCTGTTGTTTCTTTTATACAAATTTGCCTGGCTGTTATACGGTGGGTTGATTTTTGCCTAATTTCAGAAGGTCAGCATTGTAAGTAAATGTCCTCTGTGTCTCCAGTAGTTGCTGGCCCAGGCTTGCTTGTTGTGCCATTGATTTCCATTATCTCTCATTCACACCTGATGGGATCAGTGTTGCTCATTTGATTTTACGACAAAAAAAGATTGCCTCCTTCCTTCCTTGGCTTGGTCTCTCACACACAAATATACAAAAACCCACTACCAAGGGAGTGTCATTATTTGAACCAGTGGCTAGGCACTTATCAGGCAGGGTAGTGGGTCCCAGTGGTGCTGCCAGCATTGTGAGGGAAACAATGAACTAACAGAGACTTTAGTGTGGGAGATTGGGACGGGGAATTAATCATGCTTGCATATTTCCAGTGCCCACACTCCTGTCCTGAACAGGAAAATAAACATGCATACATTATCTTGCACCCATGGATGTATGCCTTCACACTCAGTACACATAGTGTGCAGCCCACACTATGCATATACTGTCGTCAGACTTGGAGCGTGCAAAGGGTGCTCAGGCTATGAAGCATGCAAGGCTGTTAGACTTTTTAAGTGCTGCGAGTCCTTCGGGATTCATCCAGTGAAATGGAATCAGTAGCTCTGTCACGCCAGCCCATATGCTGGTGCTGCTCTAACTGAAGCAGCAAAGTCCTTCAGTCAGCTATTCAGGTAGGCAGTAAGGCCAGCTGGTTACCCTGCCATTATACCCCTTCCACTGAGTGTAGGACCACTCAGATGCTCCTTAAGGAAGATGGAGCAAAATAAGAGACCGTGAGCCCAGCTGTTTTGGCACAGTCTTAGTACTGGGAGGATGGTTGTTTCTTCTTGGGGATATAAGATAATCTGTTTATAGCCTAGAGGAGTAGATGGACCTTTAAAGAGCCTCTATTAGCCTGAGAGGTCTTAGATAAATTCATTTTCCGAGCTTATTTAAGATCAAATTAATCTAGCATTTTGACCTTTTTGCTTGTGATAGCATTTATTTTATTACTGTTAAGATTTTATGTGAGAACTTGCTTTCCTGACAATATGAAATAGCTGCCGGGCTTGCAGGAGTCTGACATGTAAGCTAATGCATAATGAGGTAAGGGGATCCATCCACTTTCTAACCTGACGCATCAGTGTGTGTGTGTGTGTGTCAGCCTGTATGAGTGTGTGAAAAATGCAGACAGTGGGAGAGAAAGCCTGGAGCTTACCCAGATTACATAGGTGTCAGACCTCACAGCTTCAGCACAAGTGTTGACAGAACTACATACTGATCTTATTGTATGAACTGCACACCTACCATCTGTAGTGAACTCAGAGCCGTGTTCTGGTGATGGTTTGGAGATTTTTTTTTGAATATGGAAAGCAGTTTTGTTCAGCTGAATTCTGAAATCCATTCTGATTTTGAAATAATACAATGGTTTTATGTGTTTGTGCGTCTGTGCTATGTAGAAATGCTGATTATGGCTAATTGGAGTTGCATTTGATGTGCTTGACAATTCCAAAAACTAACTTGACTAGTAGGAATATATTGGTTTCAGGTACAGGATTGGTGAATAATGTTGTTATTGTATACCAGTATTTATGAGGTGAAACTATTTGTCTAATCATAGCAACATAATTTCGCTGTTGTTGTGCAGCTACTCTGGTAGTAGCAGTACTCCATGTAAAGAGTTTGGGTAGTGGTAGACTCTAAAAACGAAAAATAGAAGAGAAAAAGTGTAAGGAATTGCTTTAAAAGTGTGTCTGCCTGCTGTAATGTACGCTGCAAATGTTAGCACGTCCAACTAACTAGCTTCATACCTACAGTAGTAACTTAACCCAGCATACCTTCAAAGCCAGACATTTCATTCATATCTAGCACATCCACTGTAGGTAGTATGTCTCAGCTGGGGGAGATCCTCCTGGATGTTGCTATATCAGAGTGAAGGCTAATGTTACTAACTCTGTCTTGATTTATTGGATTTGGCCTCCAGCAATCCCGGCCAAACTCGTTATCCAAGATAACATTATGCTTGCATAACAAACTGGTTAGTCCTATTAAAGCCTTTACTCTTGCAACTTTAAACACAACACACAGTTTAAATTGTCAACCATAAAGCATAAATAAAAGTATGTAAGCAAAACAACTACATGGGGATATGTTAGAATAGCAGTCTGATCTTACATTTTCCCTTTGCAAAATAGAAGAACATGTTTCCTTATTTTCATGTCTTTTACATGGATCATATAAATATGCTAACTTTTTGACTGGAACCTGTTAGCTTTAGCCTCAGTCTTTTAGTAAAATATCTATAGGCCTACTGTAGCCATCAAGCTTTACAGAGTTAGTAGCTAATAAAATCTGCCACTGACTTGGCTGTTGCTGGATAAAAAGAACCCATTGTTTCAAAAATTGCCAAGGATTTAAAGCAGTAACCTGCCAGCGGTTATCACTGTAAACTGTATATGTGCTGTGCAAGAATGGAAAGCTTGACAGGCGTAGCAACAGTAACTAAGTGGGGCTTAGCGAGCAGTCAGTTCAGCTTGCAAAACAGTTTAGTTGAACACAGAGATAGAATATTAATTGTGTGTTGTTGTTTTTTTGTCTCTAGCAGCTTATCACCAAGGCTCAGCGTGCGGTGAGCGAAGTTCTGGACCAATCCGGTGCCAGCGATGTCGGGAAGTATGCAAAGGAGAGGTGGTACGAGTACAGGACACCCACTTTCACGTCAAGTGTTTCACCTGCACCGGTAAGACATGGCAGCCCGCTCTTTAACAACACAGCACAGAAACAGCAAACAGCAAACAGACCCCAGGGGTGGGTGGTGGTCACAAATGTTGTTAAAGTTAAATAAGATGGGACTCAGATTCCAGTAGTACACAAGACATCTATCTTGGTCACTACCTTCCATGCACACGCCCACACACACTGACAGATACACACTGGATTCCCATCGTTCATCCATCTCCTAGTGTATATGCCGAGTGCTACTATTAGCCCACGGTGGGGATTGGAACGGATCAGAGGTGCCTTGCAGGGGACTTAGGCTTGTGCTAAGGTAGCTTGTTATTGCACTGCCAACTTAGAGAGGATTTTCCCTTGGTTGTACGCTGTGGTCTAATGAGACTATCTCAACTAGCTTTGCAGTCCTGGGAACTAATGTCTCAAACTAGCTTTGCAGTCCTGAGCCTCAGTCTCAGGCACAGTGGTGCTCAACCTTTTTGGTGTCAAGGACCCCTAAATTGATTCACATACATACATACATATTTGATAAGATGCAGTGTCAGGGATCCCTCGTCTGATAAGACTTAGTTATTCCGTAACTGTCTATACTGTGGATTGGTAAACTTACAGTGAAGAGTGTGCAACCTATAAACAAAACTTTAATTCTTATAAAGTCTTTCATTCTCAACCTCTGGTCAATAAAATAATAGTGAAATTTAAATATTTAAGATTTTTCTGGGGACCCCTTGGAACCCCTTTAAAGACCCCTCGCCCCCCATGCTGCAGGAGGAGAACCACTGTTTCAGCAAATATCCATCAAGTGCACATTTAAAAGCATTTGACAGAGTTTGTGTATTAAAACAAGTCCATTTGGGGCATTCCAGTAGCTTACCTGGTGGAGCATGCGACCCATGTGCTGGGGCTAAGTCCTTGCTATGGTGGCCAGGGTTCATTTCCGGCCTGTAGCCCATTGAAGCGTGTCATCTCCTCTCGCTCTCCCTAGTTTCCTGCTTGGCTTCAGCTGTCACTCTCCAAATAAAGGCATACAAAAATCTGGAAACCAAAGATAGGATTTTCACGAAGCTAACATTAATTTGTTAGTTTAAGCCTGCTTAACTAGCCAGCAAGCTATTATGCTAATACAATCTGCCACAGACAGTTGCGGGCAACAATGACTGTTTAAGAAAAACTTTTCACTTTCTAAAATGACTTTCTAAGGTGGACATTTTAATTCTGTTATATTAGAAACTTTCCTGGGCAATCTTTCAAAGCTCTATTTTTTTAAATATAAGTAAGCAGCTGTTGTTGAGAAGCTGAGTAAGTTGTGTTTCTTACTATATGAGCTGCACTATACTGTTGTGCAGCACAGAGCTGGTCTACAGTAGATAAACTCACTGAAGGCTATTCATCGGAGGGTTGTTGTTGCATGCTCCCTACGTGTAGCCGTCACACACATGAAAACACATGCATACAGTGCACACATACACACATGCACTCAGGCATGTGAGCGTGCACATCCATACATGTGTGCACGCTCACTGTGGTTGTGAGAGGTTGCTGTGGTAACAATGTGAAGGGGCACCCGGGCCCTGGTTGGTGGATATTCTCAGCATCTCTATGGTGCTATTAACCAATTGGAAGGCGCTATTCTGTGCCCCAGAGAAAAAGGGGGGTGAACACAGGAAGCGAGCAGAAAAGAGAAGAAGAGGGGGGATGGGGGTGCTGTTTTTGTCGCCTAAACATTACATCATCACTCGAGTGTAATACCAATCTGATTTTCACTCCCTTTTCTACCTTCCTTCATTTCCCTCTCACTCACAGTGGCGGCACAGTAATGGAAAACGGTCATCGATGAGCATCATGTTAAATACACCTATCAGACACCCCTCCCCTCTCATGTTCCAGAGAGCTCTCCACATCCCATGAGGCAATGGGGCACTATTGTGCGGCCAGACTCTGCCACATCCCCACCGATAATATGCTCTCCTGTATGGGCCTCTGCACAGCCAGCAGTTTTCTAAAGCTTTTATTGTTCAGTGTCTAACCCCCCTCACTCACAAACATGTTGCATGTTCTTTTGAACTTCATAAACTCCATCTATTCTCTATTGTCCATGTTTCTATTCTCTGCTTTCCATTAGCTTCCCTGTATATTATCTGAGGCTGAATGGTTGGGAATGCAGAAGCAGGATTTGAGATCGAATTTCTATATTCTCTTCCATCTCTCGGTTGCTTTTTTCTCTCAGTTTTTCTCCCTCTGTTTCTTTCTCTTGCTTTCTCCCTTTCTTTCCTGATGACAGTCACCCAAGCATGAAATCAATTTCTCATCTTGGGACAGGATGACATTGGCATGCGGGGTGTGCTATTTGGAGGCTAATGGCTAAACTGTATTATACCATTGCACCAGAGTGTCAATCCACTGTCAGCAGCCAATTGCCATATCTGTCGGACGTGTTTATGAACTCTGTGACTGGGGCGTGTTTCAACATTTGATTTCATTCTTTGCTGGGAATTTTTTTTTCATACAATCAGCCTCTACCCAGGTTATTGACCTTGACCAATGATATTGTGTGCGCCTCAGTCCCTTAATTTCCACTGCAAAATCATGACATAATTTCTCAGTTATTTCCTCCTTTTTTCCTTATTCTCCTCCTTTTCTTTCTGTTTTTGTCTCCATTTTCCTCAAAAGGGCTGACTATGCCCCACTGAATACATCATGATCATACCAGTCTCAAACGGTCACACACACTAGTACTTTGTCAGCACACACATTGATTTAGCATATAGAAATACATGCATCCATCCCGTCCATCGTTTTTTCCTCCTTGTGTCTCTGCCCACACTTTTATCAAAACACATTACCTCTGGATGCCACATTATCATAATTCTTCTCTCATGCATTAGTCAGAAGAAGAACAGATCACTAATCATGTGCATTTAACCTCTCATTTGAACCCATTATACAGCAGCTGATTATAGCATGGAGTAGCAGCCACGCAATCAGCTAAAGAAAGAAGTCTGTGGAAAAAGCTGAAGACAGAAGCCAGCTCACAGATTGATGCATCAACTCCAGACATAGAGAAGGCAGTGGGGGTGTATGTGTGGATTATGTGGATCCTGTGGCACTTCTCAGTGTAGCAGCGAGCTGTACTGTATGGATGATGTGGTGTTGTATTACCAGCAGACAGGCTGACTCGTGCATATTGGCCTAATGACATAGTGACCACATTTACCCCGCCTCTGAAGTATAATTGGCACTCTTAGATTCCAACAGAAACAGCCTGGCCTGTCAGTGGCACGAGCGCAAAGCTAACACACACATAAATCACACGCAAAGGCAAAAATGGGCCTGTGCGTGTTAATAAAAAAACTCAGAAGCAGAGAAACAAATATACAAGCACAGACAGTGACAAATGCAAACACAGACACATTGGCACATAAACTGCCCAGTAGTTATTTTCTAACACAAAAGTGATTTTACTCATAAAACAGCGCTAAAGGGAATAGCAGATTTACAGAGACAGGTCAAATAAATACTTGACTGCTCTGATAATGCTCCATTTCTAGCCTGTGTTCTCACCAGGGATCTTGTAAAATTGCAGCATCTTTGTCTTTTTTTCTGCAGACCTGTTTCAGTCAGTTCAGCCTCTCTTTAGATGCTATTAGCCCCCATCACTCAACCTCTGTGTTAATAACATCAACCTACATTACTGTACTGCCATCCTGTTCTCTGAAGGCGACTGAAATAGACAGAGATATAGTCGAAGAGAAGGAGGGAGAGGAAAATGACAAATAGCAAGAGGAGTAAAGAGGAAAAATAAAGAGAGGTTATGAGGAGAAAGAAAAAGAGACACAGCACAGAAAAAAGTGGGGGGTTACAGGGAAGGGGAGCTTCCTGTAGCTATAGCAACCACTGGCACGCTGGTCCAATCACCACGCCAATGCCTGGTTGCTAGGGAGAGATTCCGGCGGCGAGAGAGGGGAGCGCGGCAGGCAGCTGCGCTTTTCCCCGACAACTCTCCAGGATCCGGGATAGATGACAGAGATTATTCCTCCGCTTGTCTTTTTCAAGCGTCACCATCAGACGGATTTTCACACACTGACGCCTTGTCTATTGTCTTAAAGTGTGTGTAAAATTGTGTGTGCACATGCCATGGTGAGGTAGAGTTGCTTCAGTGTGAAAGTGTCTGGCTCAGTGAAGGAGTGATTTCTGAATGATAAAGAGGATCATTAGGCGACAAACCCTCCTGTGTTACATACGTGCACACACTGCTGACATAGCAGAGCTGTAATGCATTGCTGTTGCTTATTACAGAACAAGCTCCCATCTCTAGCAGTGTGGTTATCCCTGTGCGTCTGTGATCTCATTCACGCCTATTTCCCCCTCAGCTGAGTGTCAGCTCTCAGTGGGTTAAAAGCTGAAGGCCTCAGCAGCGCGGCCGGTCTGCTGGTATGAAGGGACTCCACTGGGCAACCATCTGTCTCCATCAACTACCGCAGCCAAATACAAGGGGAACCCTGTCAGTCATGCACGATTTCTCTCTGTTAGCCTTTAGCTACCCCTCTCTCTCTCTCTCTCCTCTTGCCCTTTTCTAGGACCATATCGCCTTCTGTTTTCTGTTACTGCTTCTCTTTTTTATAGCCACGCTAGCAGCATGGCTCTAGGGATGGCAATGTCGGTGGGTCACTCCACCACTTCGGTCCAGACTGAAATATCTTAACACGTATTTAATAGATTGTCCAGACATTTTGTACAGGATGAATCCTGCTGACTTTGATGATAGCGTGATTTATCCTTTAACGTCACCATGAGATTCACTTTTTTTTTTTATTCAGTGAAATATCTACTTGATGGATTGGCACGCAATTTTATACAGACACTCATTGTTCCCAGACGATGATCTACTGACCTTTCCTCTAGTGCCACCAGCAAGTTAATATTCTGGTACAAAGAAATCTCACAACTATTGGATGTCTTGTCATGAACCTTTGTACAGACATTCATGTTTCCCAGAGGATGAATGTA